TGTGTGTGTGTGTGTGTGTGTGTGTGTGTGTGTGTGTGTGTGTGTGTGTGTGAGGTGGCGGTCATACCTGTAGCTGGATCGTGTAGTGTGTGACGGGAAGATCGCTAGAGTCGTCTCCGTCCTGCCACATGAGCAGCACGCTGTGTGACGTCACGTCGGTGACGTAGGGCGAGTGAGGCCTCGCGGGCATCTTCAGCTGCCGCCCGACGCTGCCGCGCTCGTTCTCTGCCACACAGCTGTACACGTCACGCTCGGTGATGTTCACGCCATCTAGCGTCAGTCCGCCGTCGTACGACACCACGTGACCTGCAAAATTGAGCAGCTGGTGATGGTAGGAGAAACCAAACTATGAGGATATGGGTACAAACTACTGCCCGTGGGCATTACGTGCTTGCCCCAGCGCGCGTGTGTGTACGTGTGTGTGTGTGGGGGGGGGGTGCGTGTGCGTGTGCGTGTGCGTGTGCGGGTGCATGTGTGTTGGCACAATCTGTGATTCCTATGCTAGCACATGGAACAGATAACGATGAATTTTGCATCTTATACATTGATACACCGACAAGCCGTAGGTTTATGCGAGCACGTGCGAATAATACCTGTGAGAATATAAGAGCATTCTATGATCTTAGAACATATGACTATTATAGAGAGATGGTGGATATTGAGATAAAGGCAAAAAGTGCGAGAGAAAGATTGACAGATGGAACGCGATGGAGAAAGAAGAGGAGAGCAGAAGAAAGACAAAAGAGTGAAGGGAGAGATCTAGAGAAAGTGAGAGAGCGAGAGAAGAGGGAGAGTGAAAAAAGAGAGCAAGACAGAGGACAAGAGAGAAAAATGGGTAGAAAGAAGAAAGAAGGATGAAGAGAGAGCGAGAGATGGGGGAGAGACTGTAATACCCGGTATGCTCTTGAAGTTGTCAAATGCGACGTCATTTCTGCGGTACATCACCGTTGGTGTCGGAGTGCCGACGGCGTAGCAGTGTATCGATATAACGTCACCACGCTTCGATGCCGTCACGTTGACTATAGATGGCACGCCTGCGGAAAACATCGATGATAGAAATCAATAGAAATCTAACATCAATGATAGAAATCAATAGAAATCAAAAATCAATGACAGAAATCATTAGAAATCAAACGTCAAGGATAGATCGATCGCTGTATCTCTCGCTCAACAAGTGATCTAGCATCCTGGATAAGAACATCGGAGCTCGCCGACGCAGCACAGTGACGCAATACCCTGACGCACTGACGCAACACACTGACGCAACACATTAAAGCACAAACACTAATGCAGAGATTAACACGCTGAGTTGCGCACTCACACACTGACGCACACACACATGCACACACACATTGACGCAGCACACTAACCCAATAAAGCACTGACGCAAACGCTGACCCAAATACTCCGCGCACCACACTATTCTGACTGCACACTGACGCCGCACCGTGACACACCGACCTACTACGTAACGTACACTGACTCGCTGGCAAAGTACACCGACGCAAACGTGACGCAACGTGACGCACCTTCTACGAACAGCTGCGTCGAGCTGTTGGCGCAGCCCAGCAGGTTGCAGGCGACGCAGATCCAGCGGCCCCAGTCGTCCATCACGCGCGCGTCACGTACTATCAAGCTCGGACCGACGACGCGGTATCGACGACTCAGGGTAGCGTTGCTCAGCTGCAGGCCGACGGGAGACGACCACGTGATCGCCGCCGTCGGCTCGGCGTGCACGACGCACGTAAGGTTGGCGACGCCGCGGTGCAGCACCGTCTCCGGCGATGACGTCACGGAGACGATTGTCGGCGGAACTGCAACGACGCATGCGCCGGTTCGATGAACGCGCGCCGCTAGGTGTCGCTCGTAAAGAATGAGTTTGGGGAATATTTTTAGGCGAAGAAACTACGGATTGGTTTGTTATGGATTCTGCGTAAGGAATATGAAAAACATAAATTTTACCCTACGTTTATAAAGGTTTCCTTTAAAGTGATTACGTCACCGTAAATAGTAAAAAATAAAAATAATATTTCCACTTTTTCACAAAATATAAGTACTTTTGTTCACTTTTTATGGTTAAATTGCTGCATTATACTTCTTATTTTACTACATTGTTTGATGTGAACATACACTCGTGACTCATACATAGCCCATAGCAAGCAATTAATGTCAGGAACACTAATATCAAATCGTCCAGGTTTTTTGGATTTTTAACTAGTTGAGAAACAATCTTATCAGGTAGAAATTTGACGATACGTTTAGTCCCGTTAGTTCTTACTTTTAATGTAAAAAAATGGCAACAGAACATTTTACACATTTTACCATAAAAAATTCGTGACGTAGTCCCTTTAATAAACGTAGGGTAAAGTGAGAGACGTGTTGAGAATATTACGTATAGACTATAATAGTGGATGATTAGTAATTGCGCAGACCCGACAGGAACGCGAACAAGACATTCTCTTAAAATTTCACTGCAATACGAAAAATTGGAAATTGAATGTGAAAATTACCCCGAAGACAATCATCGCACCGATGAAGTTCATACTAATTGCGACGATTTAATTGCCAGATGACGTTCTTTGTCTGACGAGCAGAACACCCCACACCCCCCCGACCCCCCCCGCCCCACCGCCCCACCACACCACCCGGAACCACGCGGTGCGCTACCATTACATGGCAACTTGACAGCGCTGACTCCGTAGCACTCGCTAATACGCTACACGCTCACGACAGTGTCGATCGCGTCGCGATTAGGCGTGCCATCACAACAGGGTTGTCGTAATGCTGCATACGTACCATACGACGGTCAGCGTGCGCATCGCGCCATCTAACCGCATACTCTTGACTGTATGCGTTTAAACTTATACACACCTGTAGAGCCGGCTGCCATGCTCGCGTTGTGATTAGCGGCGCCGAGGCCTGTAACCCTTATGAGCGTTGCCGAGAGACTTTTGGCAGGACAAGTGACTAGTACACAGGCTGTTGTCATCGCTGTGATACTCGGCCCTTACCCTATACCTGTGGTGTAGGCAAATGTGATCGTAAAACTCATAAACACAGACGGGCATGCGGATAACGGCCGCTTTACCCTGTACTCTGAGATGTAAGCCTCCGCAAGTGACCGTGGCTGCTGGTGAAGCTAGCCTCAACACCTGACGTCTACCATCCCCGTCACGACCTTTCGCTGACGCCGCCCGATGTGCAACCACGCCCTGGGTCCGCCCTCTGCGTAGTGTTGCTCTTCTTCTGGGACCAACCACGCAAACCGCGCGGCGTGCAGCCGTTAATACCGCGGAGTGGCTAGAAAATACGCAAGCTTGGATCTGCGGAGTGGTCCACGGTAGCGAAGTAAGGATCCGCGCACCAGATACCAATTGGTGCGCGGGTGCCAACCAGTAAGTTTCGCGTACGCGTGAGACTCAACATAATTGTATAAGGCTTGTGCTAAAAAAATTGTGCCTGTGCTGCCCGGGATAGATATTAACAAGTAGCTATCAGCGTTCGAGTCAGGCGCACGTATACACTTTGTGAAATTAGTCTCCAGAAAATCGTTATGGCATGCCTTCGGCCCAACAAAGGTTGCCTGCGTCTGTCGACAGTACCCCACGTTGGGTTGCACAGACTGTTTACGTATCGTTCATGCCCATATAGGGGAAGATTCCAGAATTCTGCCCCTGTACGTACACCATGCCAGTGGATCAACAATGCCAGTAGACATAGGCGTTGTCGTGCGTTAAATGATTCAAAGGAACAGCGCGTGGTAAACGTGCACGTCGCGGTTTATTGCTCTGCTTGGCTGGCGTGAGGATTTCATACCTAGGATTGCAGTCACACAGATGCCAATGACCCAGCTGCGTAGGTTCCCATGGCTGCTAGTATTTTCTGACCAACAGTACGAAATTTGCGTGCGTAGTGCACGTCCCAACAGTGGGCGTGCGTGTGCACCGTGTCTCGACAGCCCAACATTTCGTGTCCGCGTCTGCGTTTATACGGCGTGTGCACGTTACTCGTTCGCGTCCTGCAGCCATAAACATGCATGCGCTAAACCTAGTTGGGGCGTGCCTACTCCGTTATGCGTGTGAAAGATTCCTTTTTAAGTCCGCTGCCCTTACGTGTGCACCATTGCGAATGTGGACGTAGCTGGTGTTGGTGTTGCTTTGCGTCTAGCAACCGCGTGCTCTCGCAGAGTAATGCACGAGTAGTCATCTACAGTCGCGTGCATGCGCGTTAAGTTCACGATGCGATGCGCATGTGTCGACGGTTCACGACCGCTGCGTGCATGCGTTTGCGTGGGTTGCGTGGTGTACGACCCCGTCGGCATGCGACGTGTGTGCTTCGCGCTGCTCCAGCCGTAGGCCGATACAGAGTGTGTAGCGATGTAGCCGCCGTTACGTGCGCGTACCGGCGGCGTGCGGGTGCACGAGAACATTGCGGGCAAAGGCGGGCGGGGCGTGTGGCACACTGATTCGGTATGTGTTGACGGGG